AGAGTAGAAATTAATAAAATACTAGTTTATGCCTTAGGAAATTGCTAGTAGTCAACTACTTTGATTTGTAAAAATGATAGTTTCATATGGGTCATATGGTTCCTAACAGGAGACACATATGGTTTTATATGGTTTCTATAGGAAACAAATAATAGAGAGGGTAAACAAAGCCAAAAGTTGGTTCTTTGAAAAGATTAATAAAATGAAAAACTCTTAGCTGATTAGGAAAAGAGAAAAAAAATCAACTATCAACATCAAAATTGTAAAAGGGAACATCACTAAAAATGCTAGACATTAGCAAGACAATAAAGTAATACTGAGAATAGATTTATGCCAGTAACATTGAAAATAGCTGAAATGTGATAATTCTTCAAAAAGCTCAAGTTACTAAAACAGACAGAAGAAGAAATAGAATATCAGAGTAGTCTAATATCTACTAAAAATATCAGTTCATTCACAAATATTGTCCCCCCAAAACCTGAATTTCAAAAAGTTTGATTGAATTCTTCCAAATATTTAAGAAAAAAATGGCACTTAAAAAAAAAAAAAGATGGAAACAGGGAGTCATTTCCCAACTATAAGGTTTCATAACCTTGATATCAAAATCTGATGAAAACATTACAAAAACCAAAATTATGGAAAATTTTTTTTCATGAGCATAGATATAAGAAATGCTAAGCAATCTATCACTAAACTGAGTCCAGCAGTATATAAGAAAAATTATGTCTCACCACAAAATGGGATTTATTCCAGAAATAGAAGGGTGGTTTAGCCACAATTGTAACTAACCACTGTAATTCACAACTTAAACAGCACGAAAGAGAAAAATCACAAGAACACTCTGATACATGCAGAAAAGGCATCTCAGAAAATTCTATAGTCATTTGTGTTTAAAAGAAAAAAAGTCCTTTTAAACTAGGAATAAATAATACCTTCCTTAATCTGCAAAAAAATCTGTAAAAGTAAAAAACAAAACTATGGTATAGTATAGCCAGGCCCCTTGCAGTGAGGGGCCCCAGGGCATATGCTGTAGCATCCGCTTGGAACTTCCTCAGTGGGTCCAAAGTTTGTGTGCATGGACTCATTTCAAGAACTAAGTTTTTATAATGTGAGAAAAAAAGCCCCAAACAACAGGAATTGCACAATGTCGTTACATCATTAGAGGGTAGTTTGATAGAAATCAAAAGACTTTATCCAGTGATTTCTGAACATGGACATGATAATGGGGCTGCAGCAACTATATTGCAACCCAAAGACAATAAATGTGAAAAATTAATAGATCTTCATGTTTTCTTAGAACTCTGAGACAAGTATAAGGATGTCTTCCTAGAACTCTGAAACAATGACTATGGAAAAATGAATGTACACTGCGCCCTCTTGCAACAGCAATGAGAATGAAATAAATCGGGGTGCCTGGGTGGCTCAATCATTAATCGTCTACCTTTGGCTCAGGTCATGTTCCCGGTGTCCCGGGATCGAGTGCCGTGTTGGGCTCCCTCCTCTGCGGGAAGCCTGCTTCTCCCTCTCCCACTCCCCCTGCTTGTATTCCCTCTGTGGCTGTCTCTCTCCCTCTGTCAAATAAATAAATAAAATCTCTTTAAAAAAAAAAAGTGAAAAAAATCATAATATGGGCAATAGTATGAATTATCAAAGACAAACTAAGGCTGAGTCCAAATGAACAAAGGCTGTTTATCCCTAAGCCTAGGGCACAGGGACCTCTGCCCTTACTTTCATTTCAGCGGGAGCAGTAGAAAGGTGGTAGAAAGGAGAGTCAGATTCATACAGTAAATGGGAAACACTAAGGTCATCTCTGGTTTCCAAATGTTCTGTTAAGGTAGAAATTTTGGAAATGGAGGAGACTTTCTAATTGGTCTTGAGGTACTTTTGACCATGGACTACAAGGGGACCAGCCCCCTATTGCTTGGCAGAGGAATTTCCACCCCCACCAAATGGCCTGCAAAGCCTACCCAGCCCCGTTTGTCCTGCCTGGTCCCTCACTCTGCCCTCCAGGAATGCCAGCTTCCTTCTGCATCTTCCAAAGCACCATGATCTCTTCTTCCTCCATCTATGAGATGTTTATACTCCGGTGGGAGATAAACACACTATCAGATAATTCTAGAAAGGGGTATAAAATTATATGTGGAATTAAACTATGAAAGAAAGGAACATGTAAGATAAGAAATTGGCCAGATTGGAGGATTAGGCCTGCCTTATCTGATATGGTTTGAGGGCTGAATGATTTAGAGGCAGACAGTAAGGGTGAGGGGGAAGATGAAAATAGTATATGCAAAGGCCCTGAGGCAAGAGAGTATAATCGTTATCAGGAATGGAAAGAAAGGGACCAGAAAACAAAAATTATAAGCAAGAGTCTTATAAACTGTGATGAGGATTTTGGTCTTACTACCAGAGAAGGGTGGTATTTCAGCCAGGTGGTGACATGGTAATAGTTCATTAGAAAACCGGTATCTAACTGCAGGATAGATTGGGAGGCAGCTTAAATGCCAGGAGACCAATTAGAGGGAGCTGCAGCAGTCCTGGCTAGAGAGAATGGGCTATGAAAATGGAGAGAGTTGGGTAGATTCCAGAAATATGTGGGAGGTGACATTGACAAAATTTGATGATGGTCTCAATGGAGGCATGGGGGGTGCGGGGAAAGTAGGGTGCCAGAGAAGACCCTGGGATTTTTGTTTCCCTGGGGGGATGCTAGTAGTTCTTTTGAGGCAGGAGCTTGGCCTGGCCCAGGTCAGGGTGCGGAGCAGGAGCCATGCACCCATCTGCTGGGGTGGGGTAAATCTGAGATGTTGCTGGGACCCGAGAAGTGGTGAGACGTCAGGCAGGCAGAGCAAGGGGCAGGGGTCTGCAGTCCAGAGAGGAGGTCAGAACCACATAAACAATTAATTGCCCTTCAAACCTAAGTAGTGGATTTGCCCACATTTGTTTTAAGTTTGAGAAATTATTTGGTTTTCATTTCGTTGTTTTTTTCCTCCCCCTTTCTTTGGACTGCTTATTTCATTTTTCCTTCCTGCCCCTCTCTTACTCTGTGTGTGTTTCTCTTGACGGAGAGGCTTCTCAAGGCCATCGCCTCCATCTCTGTAGGTGGGATGTGCCTCTCGCCTCGGTAACCTTCCCAGGTCACTCGGGGGCGTTAGCAGCAGACAGACCGCGAAAGGGACTGCATTTGCAAGGTCTTTAGAGATTATTTGAATGTGGGACCCAGGTTGGTATTTGGGGTGAGGATATTTGCCGTGCAGAGGACATGCGCTGTGCCTGGGTCCCTCGCACAAGACACTCCTGATGCCTGTCGGTCTGTAGGCGTGGGCTCCGCCGTCGCCCTCCCCCAGGGGAGCCCGCTCTTCCACCGCTTCCAGCATCTGGCTGGTCTTCAGACAGAGCTGGTGGGGAGGAGAGAAGGGAGAAGCCTCGAGGGGAGGGTTTGTTTCCAAGCACCTATAGAAGCACCTAGGAGGAATTTTCACAAGTCCGTCACATGAGCCCGCGTGAAGACAAGCGGCTCATCTTCCTAAATGAAACTTACGAGGCCGTGCTGATTCAGAAACCAAGAACCGCGTGGGGATAGATCTGGATCCAGAATCCAAGGAAATGTCACAGTAGGAAAAGGACTCCAAGTGCTTCAGCTGGCAGAATGTTCTAAGGATTGCTGAATTGTTGTTTTGTTCCAGCGTTTTAAAAATTTAAAAAAAAAATGATGCTCTGAGAAAATCTTCTATATTTGCTACCAGTTAATGTTATACACAGCTGAGTCTGAGGGACAAAAATGTGTCTTCCGCATGAAGGTGGTTTTGGGGCGTGGCCTAGCAGATTGACCCCCACCCTGGGAAGCCCACTCTGGCTGTTGTCACCTCTGATTTCTGTGCAGCGGAACTTGATGGCGGGTCTGGCGTTGGGCCCAGCGAGCACTGGCTTATCGCCGGGGGTGGGGGGATTGTCTGCCCGGCTGTGACAGCCGAGGAGAAGCCCGGTGTCTCTCAGACAGTCAAGCTGTTATTTTTGTGGTTGGTGCCATCGAGCTTGTTATGTTCCCAAATCATTTTCCCAAGGAAATTTTTAGACCGACTTGTAATTTTTACCAACGTTAGTTTTCCACGTGGAACTCTTCTACCGCGTGAGAGGTAGATGCTCAGTAGAAAGAAATACGCCAGTGTCCGTGGGTCTTTGCATGTGACCAGCATGCAGAGCTGGCTTGGGACCATGCACTGTCCGAGGGGTTTAGGAATATTGAACCGTCAAGGGCTCACGTTAATCTTCTGAGCCCAGTGCTTTTAGGGTCCTCATCTTACTGGTGAGTCAGCAGAGGCATAGATGGGTCAGTCAGGTGGCCGGGGCCATGGGGAGGCTGAGCAGTGGGGCCAGGCTGTGACCCAGTGTTTTCCTCTGCTGGGCTGACTGTTGAGCCTTGAACAATGCAGGGGTTGGGGTGGCGACACCCCGTACGGTTGGAAATCTGTGTCTAGCTTTTGACTCTCCAAAAACAGTTACCAGTAGCCTCCTGTTGGCCAGAAGGGAGCCTTACTGTTAGCACAACGGTCCATGAATACACATTTTACATGTGTATTCTGTACTGTGCTCTTACAGCAAAGTAAGTAGAGAAAAGAAAATGTGAGAAAATCTTAAGGAGAGAAAATACGCTGACAGTACTGGCCTGTATTTATCAAAGAAAATCCACGTATGCGTGGACCCATGTGGTTCAAACCCGGGTTCCACTGGATCTTCCTTATTGCTGCACCTCTGCATAGAAGAGGGGAACATTGTAAAGGTTTATTTATTTATTTATATTGTTGAGGTGGGGGCTGGGGGGAGGATGGGTGGGAGAGAGAGAGTCTTAAGCAGTTTCCGCACTGAGCGTAGCTTGATCCCGTGACCCCAAGATCCTGACCTGAACCAAAACCAAGAGTCAGATCCTCAATGACAGCCCCACCCAGGCTCCCCAGAGCTGAATATTTTAAAATATGTAGTTCCAGTGATGTTTTATTTTCTCGTAGGAGTGACTGGGTGACCTCTTTCAAAGTCATGGTGAGCAATGACAGCCATACATGGGTCACTGTTAAGAACGGATCTGGAGACATGGTGAGTTTCATGTTCCCTCTGTCCATGCCCTTGGTGTGGGGCTGCACGGGTCTCTGCAAAGAGAGGTGACGTGTGCCCCCCTCCGTGTCTGCTGATACTGCGTCAACTCAAACCGATGATGGATAATGTGCTCATCCCTTGCCCACCGCCCCCCCACCGGCTTCCGTGCCCTGAAGCTCAGTGCTCAAGTGGCCCATGTAGAGCTCATGTGAAATTCTGAGCTGCTGGGATGCAGCTTCTTCCACAATCCACAGGTCATGTGGGGGACGTGCAGCACAGCCAGTGTGCCTGCGCCCCTCCTAGCTGCTCGGTTGCAAGAGTTTTCCAGCTTTCTTTAATAATCCATCTTTCCGCTCCATGATTTGCTCCAGATTAGCTGGTTCTGATCATGTCAGCCTCTGGCTTAGGTTCTCAAGCACATCCTTCCTCCCATGGCATCCAGAGTCTTCCCTAATCTGACGGCATCTTCGGTTTCAACCTTCTTTCTCTCTTAACCCCTGCACACATTCCTCCTGCATTCCAGAAGTGTGGGCCCGCTGCTCTGTTCCTTCTGAAGCCCACCTCTGGGCTTCTCCAGTCATTCCCTCTGCTTTTCTCTAGAATCCCCCACCCCATAGGTCTAAAGGCCAGTTCAAATGCCACCTGCTCCCTGAAGGTCTGCCTGGTCCTTTCCTTCTTCTGAAATCCCAAAGCTCCGTGGCTGTCCCATGACACTCATAGATTTCACCCAGATTATCAAAATATTCCCTCCTCCTTCTCTCTCCACTACCCCAGAAGATGGGGGCTTCCTGAGGGCAGGGTCCATGCCTGATCCATTTCTCTTCACCCCCCCAATACCCCCCCCAACACTGGGGGTTCCTTAGTGAAATCTTATGGAATGAGTGAATTACCCTTTTATCCCTTGATAATTGAGCTCTAAGAGATTTGGCTTTCCCCCCCTTGTGCATAAGTAGATATTTGAAGGAAACAGTGAGAAGGAGATCCCCGTCCTCAATGAGCTGCCCGTCCCCATGGTGGCCCGCTACATCCGCGTCAATCCGCAGTCCTGGTTCGACAACGGGAGCATCTGTATGAGGCTGGAGATCCTCGGCTGTCCCCTGCCGGGTGAGCCTGCCCTTCCCAACTTGCTGCTGGGGGGTTGCTGATGGAGAACAGGTTCCTAGCCAAGTTGACCACAAACAAACCAAGCAATATTATTCTCATGTTTAAAAAAAAAAAAAACAAAACACTACATCTATTGCAGAATATTTTGAAAACCTAGCTAAGCAGAAAGAAAATAAATAAAAATCTCCCCTCATCCCACCCAGAAACGCCATGCTTATTTGGGGAGTAGCAAAGTGATGTGCCAGCTGTGGTTGTGTCTGCCGGCAATGGTGCACGTTTCAGGGCTGAAAATTCACTCAACACTACCACTCTGAAGCAAGCAAAGAAAAAAAAATTAGAGAAAATTTTTCATAGCATATTTAATTGTCCCTGAGTGCTCCCACTACTTGGAGTAGAGGAGGTAGCCAAAATTAACCTTAAATGTGACCATGTACACAGTCTCTCTCTACGTTGCTTTGCTTGGGTGCCTATGTCTTTGGGTAAATGCCTCTTTATCTCCCGAGGCCTGTTTTCACTTGATGATATCTGGGTGTGATCTCAGGGCGCCAGGAAGAGGGGGACTTGAAGTCGCAGGTGTGTCCTCTGGAGCCCTGCTGGTGTTTTCTCTGGACAGGCTGATCTGGCCTGGCTCGTGGCTGGCTTGGTCCAGCCTTTCAGAGCTTTGGAGTTTGTGCCCATATGGAGCCTGTAGATGACCCCTGCCATCGGCAGGGCAGGAAGCTAGTGCCTAGCACACTCCTAAGGCTCTTCATTAAGGCCTATAGGAATTCCTACACCCCTGTGCACCTGTGGTCTGTCCCTAGGGAGCAAGCAACACAACTTTGGGTTATAGAGTTTTCCTTACTGCCCTTGTCTAGTGGGAGAGGGAGGCCTTGCTACTTCTGGGGTTCACCCAGCCTTGGGGAGGGGTATCATCGGCTCTGATGCTCTCAGGAGCCAAGCAACAGCTATTTCTGTAGCCATTCGGCCCCCCTCCCCCACTGTGAACTTATATTTATTGCTTTTCAAAGCACGTTTAATGTCATTTATTGCTTTTCTCTCAATCCCATAATATCCAAGTTCTTGCTTTGCCAAGGACGAATTTTTAGAACGCAAACTCTGTATTGGTGAGAAAGATGGGTCTATCTGCCTACCTACTCACACTTACACAAGATGGATTCTTTGTTATATATTTGGACTTACTAGCTTACAAAACTTTTTTTTTAATGTCATTAAAACTATTAGAGACCATCTGTCTTGTGGGTGCATTTATCTAGTCTATAGACAAAAATCCTGTTTGTAATTGCCTTACCGTGGGAAGTTCAGTTGTTTCCAATATTTTGGTTCCATAAAGAACCACACGAGGAACGTCTTTGTTTCTGTGTCACTGTGTGAATCCATAATTACTGTGTGAATTGTAGGATTATTCAAGTACAGGATGAGTACTTACGTGAGATTATGATAAATAGGGTCGCTGATGCAAAGGGCATGTGCGTTTCAAGGCCGAGCCCTAGAGGCTGTTGTAAGCCAGCCTGATCTAGGACCCGGGCCTCCTTTTGTGGCTGGTTGGTTCTGCAGTGGTCACTCAGGTCCCACCTGCTGCCACCCAGGGCCCACTGGGCTTTCCAGAGTGTGGAGAGTCTGCAGACTGAGAGGCCCTCTTTGGGCCAGGCCAGGAGGCCTGGATTCCTGTGTCACTCATCACAGCCCCCGTCTGCTTGCTCAAAAGAGCAGGGCTGTGGTTTCTCTCTGCGGCAGGAACTCATCCATTGTTGGTAAAGGGCAAAGGGCAGCCTGTGACAGTCTCATGAAACAAATATTTCCCTGTGAAGTTATTCTTGGTTCTGTGTGTGTTTGAAGATAGGTCCTTGGGGGTAATTAAACACAAAGGCAGAGTTACAGCATTAATTCTAGGTGGGTTGCAAGGACAGACTTGGACTGGCTTTATTTCCAACACCAAACATTTAGGGCCATCTCTCTTCTAGAAGTTACATAGCAGTCTGCCCAGAGGGGAACTGGCCTTTGTCTTTGCCTCCTGGTGGGAGTCACATCTGAGGGACTGGGGCAGCCCAGGGGCCCCCACGTCCATGTGGGTAAATGAACCTTGCTCATCGCCCTGCTGTGGGCACAGGCCCTTTGTGGGAGGTAATGAGGCCAAAGACAGAGATGACCCAGCCAACTCAGCCGCTCAATCCCAAGGTGATCTTGTGGTCTAAATGCAATCGCCCAGAGTCTTTTTTTCCGGGAACTCTTGTTTATGAAAAATTCATTTACCTTTGCTTCTGCTCTCTTTGTTCTGTGCCTGCCATCTTCCTGAGAACTCTCCGGTCAGGGCAGAGGAAGGGGGTGAGTCTTTTCAAGCTTTCGTGAGTAATGTATCCAGAAATGTTTGAACTGGAAAACGAATTACCACATGCCATTGTCTATTAATAGGATTTTTAAAGCTCAAAAGGAAAAGAAAATGGAGTGTTGTTTATGGTTACAGTTTTAGTTTTGCAAGATGAGAAGGTTCTAGAGATCTGTCTCACAACAATGTGGATATACTTAACACTACTCAACTGTACTCATAAAGATAAAGTTAGGATGGTAAATCAGACGTGTATCGGACCACAATTAAATTTTTTTAAATTCAAAAAATATTTTATTATTCTTTTCCTCCCCCCCAATTTGTCTATTGGAACATAGTTGATACACAATGTTACATGAGTTTCAGGTGTACAGCATGGTGATTACACTGTGCTCACCCCGAGTGTAGCTCCCGTCTGTCACCATAAATGCGGTTGCAGGATCAGACACTGTCTTCCCTGTTCTGTGCCTTTCATTCCTGTGACTTAGTCATTCCCTAACCGTAAGCCTAGACCACCCACTCCCCTTCGTCCATGTTTGCTCCACCCCCCACCCCACTGTCCCCACACTCAGGCAACCCCCAGTTTGTTCTCTGTATTTACAGATCTGATTCTGCTTTTCATTTGCTTGTTTATACATTTGTTTTTTTGAAATTCCACATGGGAGTGAAATCATATAGTACTTGTCTTTCTCAGTCTGACTTATTTCACTTAACACAATACCTTCTCGGTTGCTCATTATTTAAAAGTTAAAAAAAAAAGAAGAAGAAGAAGAAGGAAGAAAGAAAGAAAGTCGGGCCGACTCTTAATTTCAGCTCCAGTCATGATGTCAGGGTCCTGGGATCGAGGCCCAGGTTGAGCTCCACACTCAGCTCGGGGATCTGCTTCAGATTCTCTCTCTCTCTCTCTCTCTCTCTCTCTCGCCCTGCCCCCCTGCACTTGCGCTCTCTCTTTCTTTCTCTAAAATAAATAAGTAAAAGTAAAAAGAATTCCTTTTCCCCACATTTGAATGGACTTGCCCATTTTGGATGAGCATGCATTAAAGATCTATGCATATCAGAAACCAGGGAAGGCTTCCTAACATACATTTTTTTAATAATGAATAGTTCAGGTTAAGATGCATGCTGGCCGACTTCAAGGTCACAGAGTTGGTGGTTCTCAGCTCTTTGCTGTGTAAACAATACTGCCATGTGCGCTATCTGTTTCTGGAAAGGGCCCTGTTGCTCTGCATACGATTTCCCCATAGGGCATTAGGAGCACGCCCAGGGGCCCAGGAAATGATTTTCAGGGCCGGGGATGGGGCCGTGTGTGAGCCCTGGTGCTGTGAAGGTGTGAGTCCAACCTTCCAGGGGAAAGCACCACTCCTCCCACCTCGTCTTCCCTGCCACCAGATCTGAGCGACTGTCTCTTGATCAGCACAGGGCTGGGGTTCTTGGATTCAGCTCAGGACCTTGGGAGGGGCCGTGAGGAGGTCTGGGTGCAGGAGCTCTTTTCCCTTCAACACAGAGGAGCTGCTAAGGGCAGATGTCCCACCATCATTCTCGTGGGTGGGCCAGGACCTCTGGACACACTGCCCCTCCTTCCCTTTCCCTCGTGCCCATGTCCTCCCAGGCATAAGTCCCTGAGAACATATTCCAATCGTGAGACCACCACCCGTCTTGCTGACCTGGTTTAGCCAGCCCCTCCCCACTCTCATCACTACGGAGAAATCAGGGGACGGACGGGCTCTGCTGGGTCAGCAGAGCTGCAGGAGACGTCAGTCTAATTGCTTTGCTGCTTTTCTTCATGAAGGCCACAGGCTGGGTACCTCCTCGTCCTGGCATTGGTCATTATTTTGGGCCCCAGCCTGGGTTTTGAAAAGACAGGCGTGGGAACATGAAGTTGCTGTGGCCCTTTTTTTGTCTTGCTTTGCTAAGGGCGCCGTGTTCAGCCTCTTCGGGATGGAACTAGAAGTGCTCACGGGAAGGGCTGTGTCCCAGCCACGGGCTGGCTTCGTTGTTACTGCTTGCCTGGGCCTTGTGTGACCTGAAAAAAAAAAAAAAAAGAGAGAGAGAGAGAGAGAGAGAGAGAAGAATTCATGTCCCGTTCAGGGAAGCTGGGTGGACAGAAAGGGCATGCGTTCCTGGTGAGATCAGGTTCACGGTCTGCGATCACCCCCCAGCACCTGTGGTCTTGTGCAACTTGTGGGAGAACTCCATGCCTCGCTTTTCTCACGTCTGAAGTGGAGTCATGAGCTTCCCTGTAGAACGGGGACTACGTCCTCCCACTCCTGCATTGCCCTTTCCTAAAGCATCCCCGTGAGATGACCCAAGCCCTCCCCATGTACCTATGGAAGGACCTGAGTCTCCCTTCCTCACCTGCCCCCCGGTACTTCTGGGGCTAGCTGGAGGGGTCGCCTGCCCTTGCCAGGGGGTTGCATTCTGCCTCCTGCTTCCCGTGCCTTCTCTCAGTGCTGCTCCTGGTCAGCTCACGCCATCATCTCCCTTCCCCCTGGATTTGAGAACAACAGCCTCCTCGGATGCTGATCCACGTGAGGGCTCACTGCTGAGGTTTGGGGATAAAAATGGGGCTTTGCTGCATGTAACATAGAACCACACAGACCTGACAGTCAGCATTTCTGTCCCTAAGGCTCCTGGTCATCCCAGCAAAGGGGATCTCTGGACTGCTGCCATGCTG